TATTATCTATTTAGATAGTGAGAGGGAGAACTTATTAGAAGTAAATAACAATCAATATTCATCTAAACAATTTATTTTTCAGGTGAAGGTTATCGAAAGAATCTTCTTACAAATCAAAATGGTGCTGTTGTCTTCAATTCATTAATGCCTAGTGACTATTACCTTCGAGCAGTGATGAAGGAATATGTCTTCGAACCGGCTTCGAAAAAAGTAGAAGTCAAAGAGGGACAAAGTGTTAAACTTGAAATCAAGTACGCACATTTTGTAATATATTTTAATAACAATAATAACTTTATCACTATTATTTCTTTTTCTTTATTTCAGAGGCAAAAGAACAGCCTTTTCAGCCTTTGGCTCAATAACATCTCTGAATGGAGAACCAACTCCTAATGTGGAGGTTGAAGCGGTTGGTCAAAACGAATGTTCACAATATAGCGAAGAGGCTACTACAGAAACGAGCGGAATCTTCAGGATCAGAGGTCTGCAACCGAAGTGCACGTATGTACTCAAGGTCAAAAGCGGCAACGGGTTCAATAAACATATTGATAGGTGGACGCCACGTGAGATCGAAGTGCAGGTAAGCGAAAATGAATGATAATTGATAGTTTTAGGTTTTTTCAATGTTTGAAGTTATTCTGAATCGTTTGAGATCAAAAGTGGAGAAAGTATGAGTGTGTGAGGGATAATTTGACCTATAGCCGACATTTTATCAAAAACGGCTGCACCGATTTCAAAAGTTTAAAAGTCATTTGATGTCAGTTTTCCGACGCTTTCTCCAGAATTCCTGCATCTATTTTGAAAAATCAAAAATTAACCCATGGCCGACATTTTCTCAAAAACGGCCGCACCGATTTCAGAAATTTTAAAAATCATTTGATGAAATTTGATAAGGACTCTTGTTGGTCAGTTTTCCGACGTTTTCTCCAAAAGTCCTGCACCGATTTTGAAAATTCAAAAATTTACCTATAGCCGACATTTCCTCAAAAACGGCTGCACCGATTTCAAAAATTTAAGTCATTTTATGATATTTGATAAGGACTTTTGTTGGTCAGTTTTCCAACGCGTTCTCCAAAAGTTCTGAAGCGATTTTGACAAATCAAATTTTGTTTCAATTGTCTTATTGCAAATTGAAACATACACCAACTATTGTCGCACAATCATGTTTTGAGCACATTGTATTTGTATATTTTCCTCCTGTGTCATAACTTAATTTCCTTTCCAGGTCCTGGACAAGGACATTGAAGGCTTAAAAATCATCGTTTTCCACCCCATAACCCAAATGGACGTAACAGCTCACATAACAGCAAGCAACATCGACCACTACAAAAGCCTCCGCGTAAAACTCTTCCGAGAAAACTCCATGGATTCACCACTGCACAGTGTGAAACTAGAAAACCCCAACTTCCAAAAAGGCGGACGCAACCCAGGACTACGTGTTATGTTCCCCAGAATCCCCCTGGATGGCAAAAACTACTTCGTGCAACTCGAATCAACTTTATCACCGAACCAATATAAATACCACACACCAGCTGTACAATTCCTGGCCAGCAGTTCCTTTAAACACATAAATCTGGATTTCAATGCCACGACTAAGGCGTCGGAACAAGATTTGAACCAGACGAGCATGTTGGCTTTGCCGATGATCATTCTGGTGTCTTTGGTGTTTTTCAATCAGCAGAAAGTAAGCGATTTTTTGCAAATTGTTGGTGATAAGTTGAGCTCGGTGCAATTGAAACCGAGTAATAGTCAATTTGCGGTTCAACAGAATGTTGTGGTTGATCATCGAGAGATTGAACAGATTGTGCAGAATATTAATGCTGTCAAAAAGAAGCCAAAACCAAAGAAGATTTAAGTAGACGAGCAATAGTCAAATTTATAGGTTTTCAGTCTTATTTGTAACAAGAATGTAAAATGCACACCCAGATGTAAATTTATGATGAGGCTGGAAATATTAGATTTATAAAAAATTCTATGAATTGTTCATCGAACATCTGTATCACCTTCAATATTGTAAATTTATCATACATTGTAAATCTGTATTTAAAGGTTGTATTAAAGTTAAGACATTTGTAATATCAAATAGCTATTTATTGTTTGATAAGATTAAAGTTAAAATAAATATTATAACTGAAAGAAAAGTTTGATTTACGGGCCAATTATGCCATAACACAGATGATTGCAATTGCAATGCTACGTTATGCTTGTTTTTTGGTAATAAAAACTGTGAAAATATTTTTTTATGCGTTTAAACCATAGATAAACAAGTATAAATAGATGGCCGCTTTGACATTACATCAATTGTAATTTTTTCAGCATATCATAGATGTCGCCACCAACCATAGCACGTAAATTTACCATTAGGTTCAATTCTAGATAAGATTTGTTTGAATATGAAAGATGAACCTTATTAATTTAACTAAATGAAATGAGAACAAAATATACGCGTCTAAAATATATTTTCAACAAAATCGCAAATCGCAAATATATTGTAAAAAATATATGATAAGAAAAAATTAAACATTTTTAAAGTTATATTTCAATGAATAAAATTGGTACTTGAATTTTCAATTCAAAGACTATATATTTCAGTATATAAAAGTATGTACATTGTTTATAACATGGGTTTTTTACCCGTAGGTATTGTATCCTTCATTGGATTTGGTTTTGCAAACAATAATTAATACATAATATATAAATAAATTCATATTTGTGTGACAAAAAAAGAGGAATTAAATTGGTACTTGAACGTTTAAAGTACATGTACTATATCTAGAGAGACTTTGTTTTAAAACAAACGCTGAATTTGAAGCACACTAGCACCATCTGTGATATGCTGAAAACACTCATACAGTGTAAGGCGGATTTGTTCCCCCCATGGACTAAACTTTGTTTAAAAATCCATGGATAAATATCTTTGAATATTTGATAAAAATAAAACGGCAAAAACTTTATTAAAAAATCCATGGTTTAAATGTTTTGCCGCAAAATCGGCCCATTAATCAATCAGAAATCAATACATTAATTTATGAGTGATTTAGAAGTAGGACAAGTTGCTGTAGGGGGCATCATAATGTGAGAAACATCTACTGCAAATTATTTAATTCTGTACAATTTTTTTAATACATATGATTGAAAATCGAATACGTGCCTAATGCAACTCGTAGTATTTTCTAAAAGCACTGCCAAATAATTCAAATTTTAATAAAATTTTATAATTGAGAGTCAGTTTCCGTAGAACTATAATGTACCAGTATGTTTCATCATATTTTGCATATTGAAAACATTAAAACAAGATAGGTATGATTGAATGTTTCAGTGGTGCCTTTTTCTTTTCTTAAACCAAACTGTTGATAATCTAGTATAGTAATATCAAAAAACCAAACCGAGCTGCAAAGCATGATGAGCAGAATCGTCGAAGTGGGAAGACACGGAATGGAAATCAACATCGACAAATCGAAAGTGCTGAGAGTACCAAACCGAGATAATCCTCTGAAAACAACAGTAGGATATCGAGAATTGGAAGACGTTGATCATTTCAAATATTTGAGAAGCTTTCTGACCAGAGACCGATACTGCACGGAGAGATCAGGACAAGTATCGCAAGCGCCAAGGCGGCGTTCACGAAGATGAGAACACTGCTGACTAGCAAACTAAGTCTGGAGCATAGCTCTGTACGGATCAGAGACATGGACTCTCAGAAAAGCCGACAAAAACTATCTGATAAGTTTGGAGGCGAATGAAGAAAATAAAGTGGACTGACAAGGTAACAAATCAAGTCCTGAGAAGAGTGGGCAAAGAAAGGACTCTACTGAGCACGATCCTGAAAAGAAAAGGAAACTAAATCGGACCTATTCCGCAAAACGAGTGCCTCCTGCACGACGTCGTCGAAGGCAGAATAGAAGGACTAAAAGTATTGGAAAGAAGAAAAATGCAGACGGTTGATGACTTACGCGAGAAAAGGAAATACAGAGAATTAAAAGCTGAAGCGAATGGAACACATATCACAGTTTTATTAAAAGTCGAAAGAGAATTTAATTTAAGTGAGCAAAAATACTTGGAGGCACTGCAAGCCTTTAGCAGAAGCGGAGCAAGCTTCTAAGAAATGGATTTTTTCCAAAAGCAATTAAAAAACTTTATCTACCGAAGAAGATTAAGTTGATAAGAACAAATTCCATACGTGTATTCAGTAAATATTTTTGTATAGTGAATGTTAGAGCTAAGACCAGGAAGCACGGAAGCTGAAGTTAGGAAAGAAAAATTCATAAAAACGAATATAAAATGATTAATGGTATATAATCAATGATAAGAAAAGGATAATGGGAATAATAAACAAGTGAAGGGGAAGAAAATTATTGATTTTGTGGTGCCCTTATACCATGGACCTGCCTATTTATTATTACGGCCGGACCTGCCTCTGCCAAAAACTAATCACCACTTCTTCCCGTCATTACGAATTGAATGTTTTCAGAAACCGTTGAAACGTGAAGATATGCAAAAAATTTTATTTTCGATTTCGGCTTATTACTATAACTTACCCTACAGGAAGTTAAAATGCTCTCAGAGAATTTGTTGAGTAAAAAAGTTGTGTAAAAAGTACCTCAAAGTAAGTATGTATCAGTACATTTTTCATCATTGTCGCTTCAAGACTTTTACATATTATAAATTAGAACATACAAAGTTGTAAAACAATTCTTATGCTAAATTGTTTATTAATAATATTATTAATTACCCTTGTAGTATACAATGTCCCTTTTCGGTCAACTATTGTAAATTCATCAAATTTATTAAATGTTCTTAACTGGACAGTTGTAAATAGAAGAGATAATAATAATAAAAATAATAATAATAATAATAATAATATAAATAATTTATGTTCCTAAATTACCTTTGGTTAAAGTTCAACTTTGTTTAATTAAATCTTCTACCCCTTTTCCATATGTACCTTTCCATGTCTCACCAGATATCGTTGTTGTGAAAACTCCTTATCACAATACGAGCACTTATACAAATTTTGTAGCCTTGTGCACATGCATATGATTAGTCAAAACATGTCTTCTAGTAAACCCTTTCCCGCACACTGTGCATTCAAAAGGCCTGTCATCCGAATGAATCATTTTATGTTTCGACAAAGACACCACATTCCCAAACTTTTTACCACATACATCGCAGTCATAAGACTGTTTGTCCCCATGTGTAATTTTATGTTCTTGTAAACGATTCAGGTTCTTGAAAACTTTACCACAACATTTGTAAGAAGAGTCTTTGGTGTGAATTAGGATGTGTGTTAATAAGTTGCTGCGTTGTAAGAATCCACGAAGGCAGTATTGACATGTGAATGGTTTTGCACCCGAGTGCATGTGGGAGTGACGGGTGAGATGAGATTGTCGAGTAAAGATTTTTTGGCATGTTTTGCATTTGTAAAGGTTTTCTTTAGTGTGTATTCTGAAGTGCTCCTTTAAATTGCTTTGTTTGGTGTAGGATTTGGAGCACAATGTGCATTGGAAGAGCTTGTGTGATTCTTCTGATATATCGTATTCACATTCAGATTCTGTGGACTTTAGGAAACAAATTTCTTCGACTTTTGGATTTGTTTCTGATCTTGTACTATTATCATTAAGTAATTTACCACCATTGCTTGAATTTGTTGCTTCAGCATCCAAATTATCACATTTATTACCAATTATCTCTGACTTAAGAATTTCTTCGACTTGTACCGACAGTTTAGACAAATTACTTCTTAACACTGGTTTAACACTATTATATTAAATTAAATACGCATAATTTAATTGATTCTAGTATTCAAAAATACAATTCCTTGTTTATTAATTTAAATATAAAATTTGTTACTTTTAACCCAAATATCAAAATATTATTTGAACTGTCAAACGTCAAAATTCGTCATTGTGTAAAGGTGCATTCACACAACGAAATTATTTTGTAAAGCTAAAGGTGCTGTCACACACAACAAAATTATAAAGGTGATAAACGATTCAAAACTTTTTTAACTTTTCATAAAGTACATCGAAAATAAACATTGTTGCATTTCTTCACGTTTTGAAGGTTTCTGAACATTTTGGCATACCTCAGAAAAATGGATGTGTATTCACGTTTTCGGGCGCACGGATCAACCGACCAACCGATTTGAATGGTTCAAAAAACATTCGATTGCTATTGATAGGGAGATGTGCTGATTAGTTTTTGGCAAAGGCAGGTCCAGCCGTTTCGGCGATACGAAGCAAAGAGTACAGAAAATAGAAATCTGCTTGTGTTTCAAATTCGAGCATTCGATTTGAATGGTTCAAAAAACATTCGATTCCTATTGATAGGAAGATGTGCTGATTAGTTCTTGGCAAAGGCAGGCCCAGCTATTCCGGAGATACCGAGCAAAATGTACAAAAATTGCAGTTTTCGAAAGAACTCGGCATCCGATTTGAATGATTCAAAAAACTTTCTGCTTGTGTTGATGAAACGATTGCTTATGGAAAAAGGATTTTTTTAATTAATTTTTTTTTAAAATGTACAAAAAACTTTCTGCTTGTGTTGATGAAACGATTGCTTATGGAAGAAGCATTTTTTTTAATTAATTTTTTTTTAAATATGGGTCAATTTTAAACATATATAAGTTACAGTATTTATATTAATCTATTTGAAAACATTTAATATTTTACGAATATTTCATTACGGTACGGGAAGTTCCATCAATTTTAAACATATATAAGTTACAGTATTTATAATAATCTATTTGAAAACATTTAATATTTTACGAATATTTCATTACGGTACGGGAAGTTCAATGTTCATCACTAGTTCAATTTCGGACGGAAAAGTTTGTTTTTGCCAGAAAATCCGATTTGATCATTTGGTTTTCTAGACAATTTTCTAGCCATTCAGACTCTTTTATAGACCAAAAGAATGCATGTGTGTATGTGAGTCGACATTCAAAAAACATCTAGAACGATTTCAAAAATTTAAAAGCCGTTCTTGATAGCTAGTAACTTGATAAGCACTCGCGTTGATTTATATTACGATATGATCGTCTGAGTCGTTTCTTTAGGATCAAATGCAAAATCCAAAAATTTGTGTCCACATTTTCAAAAAAAACTTTGAAACGGATACCTTTCGAAGGTATCATTTCAGAATCGTGCTGATTAGTTTTTAAAAAAGTTCGGCCTGACCGTTTCTTTGTCACCAATTGTTTTTCGCTAATTCCAAACATATCCTTGGTTTTTGAAACAAAGTTTTGGCCGTTTAATATATTCAAATTTTCAAAGATATCTATCCATGGTTTGGATAGTCCATGGTATTTCGCCAATTGTACAGCACTGAAGTATAATTAACACTAGAAAGACGGACGAATTGAATATACCTACATTGCCTGAAAACAGTCAAAATGACTGCGTCGTGAAAAAAATAAATAATGCGTTTAGAAATTTGTTTAAAATCAATTTTTATTATTTCATGTACTATTTACATTTATACAAATCATCTATAAGTGCTAAAAATAAAAAAATAGTTCATCTGAAAAAGAAGTTCATTATTTTTACAATTCATGCAAATATAATTTAAGATGTTTTTATGAATACATTTTCCGCAAACATGTTTGTTGCAACTTTGACACGTATTATTAGTTTTATTATTATTACAAAGTCTTATTTAGCAAAATTTTCTTTTATTTCTATTGGTATTTGCATGATGTCTGTGGGTCATCATTTTCCTTTGATTTTTTTTGTGTTGATGTCGTGTAGTCCGCGGAAAGCTGTTCTGCCAATTCAAACAAAAACTGTTCTCTAAGAATTTGTTTTCTTTGGATTTTTATTCCTGTCGCTTCCTTGTAAAGAATCCAGGCATTTATCGCAGCCAAATCCAAAATATTAAAAAATATTTGCAGAGGTTATCTACTGGATTGGAACTGGATTTCACGGTATATTTTCTTTACCTTTGATCTGCCATGTCTTCTTTGCTGACCATAAATAAGTCAATTTCAATTTTTTTGCCTCATAGGCCCCACGAGCATATAAAATTCCAATAAATGCACGTATTTCCGGTAACGATGTTGTCCAATCGTACTCCGAAATTCGACTGCCCTCTTCTTCTGTGCACTGTTTTATGTGTTTGATAATATAATTATCTATTATCAACGAAAATGCACTGACAAGATCACCTATAATAATTTTCTTTTTGCATAGCTTGTTGGCCCTTTCACACCCTTGAAGACACAATTAGATGATGACCTTCCTGGAGTACCACCTTCGGCAATTTTTGTCCATACAGTACCATCGACAGCTGTCTCCGTTTCTTGAATTCTTTCATCAGTTTCTGAGCCACTTAGCACCCTCCTGCATACACTGATGGCACTTTCATTTTCATCAATAGTGATCTCCTTCATCGCTACCCTCAGAATCAGATGATTCACGTGGAATATAATTCAATTCATCTTCAGATGATTGTGCCCAATTTTCTGCATTTTATTCTATGTCGGAACACTCTTCACTTATGTGTGTTAGCTTTTGCAACAATTCACTTCTCTTTGACATTTTATTTATAAGTTCTAAAAAATCAACTGAACAACGCGTTATACTGAAAGTTACTATGTGAAAAAGACCGGTCTAATGTCAATACTTACCATAATTCGGTTATTTCTATGTAACAAATGCATTATGGCTCATTCGAGATGAATTATCGCGAGATAACGATTTGCAATACAATAACAAAGCCGTTTGTTTATGTAAAATTTCTAGAGCAGTCAAAATGACTGTTTTCCGTCCATGCAGGCATAACATGTAAGAATATTGAAAATAAAAGTGAGATAAGGCAAATAATACGATTTATCTACGCATTCATATGTTGTATAAAAAGTCACAAAATTTCACGAAGCTGCGACTTCAAATACATAGTTATTTTTATGTTTGAAAATGGAAAACAGTCAAAATGACTGCGTCCGTCTTTCTAGTGTTAAGAGTGGGAATCACTGAATTCTAGAGTCTCCCCCCATGAAGTAACACCGTAGGGACAAAAAGCAAGAAATGAGCTAGGATTTTATTTGGTATTATTTATAATAAGCCCAACATACCCAGACAAAAGACCTAGTCTGGCATGGGGAAATGCGTTTCCTTCACTATACAAAAATATAGAGCAGATCAATGAGCGCTGCAGAAGGCACTGTTTGCACTACAACTCAATATTTAAATTTGATAAAATTAAAATTATTGAAAACAGATGTATGGAAAAAGAAATAAAAGATTAATAAGGAATTATTTATTAAAATTAGTAAAAAGTTTAGGAATATAAGATAGATGATAGTATTAAAATAATAGTTACGAAAGCAACAAATGTTTGTATTTTATGAAAAATAAACTTTTTTTGGCTTTATTAACGCTTAAAAAATTATTATTCATTTATTATATATTTACTGCAAATAGTGATTCCGATGTGTAACGCACTAATCACCTAAAAACAATTTATTCTTCTTGCTTATTCAATAATAATAAAATAATAAATCATGTTTCGTTTATTTCATTCATTTATTTATTTATTTAATTAATTCATTCATTTATTAATTATTGTTTAAGGTTATTACATGCATTTTGACTAAGAGTTATGCTATCTAAATGTCTCGATGAATTTACAGCAATGGAGAATTTTACATTCGGAACGAAGAATATAAATAAAATATCAATAAATAGCAATTTAACCCTCTCCACCAATCTCGGAATTTGCTAGTGGAAAGGGTAAATATCAATCGTAAAATATATCTTGCCAAGAACTGTAATAAAATCAAAATAATTCAGAAAAAATTTAATCCAGCTAGAATTGTACCGTAATTATTAAAGAATATACACAATGGTGACTCAAGATTTAGGAGCCAATTCTCGGATTAAATAGAAACATTACGGGTCTATAATCTTATGAGTTGGCACATAAAATTTAACCTTCAAAAGGCACAAAGGTCAAATAATTTTATAAGTGCAACTTTCTTGTGTCACTTTGATGGGAACGAGGTAATCGGTTCGATTCCGCAGCAGTATTATATTTATCGTTTCGACTATAAAATTGCTGTAAAGTCACCGAGACCCCTAACATATAAACTATATATTTAGTATCAAAGGTTTAAGTATCATTTTTCTAACAATTAATTAATATATATTTATAAATGTGTATCGTTACAAGAAACATTATGGATTTATAAAAAAAATATGTGAAATTAAAAAAAAAATAACGAATGGTATTACATTTGATTATTGTTAATCATATAAAGAATCATGAGGAATGTAAATGTAATACTACTTCAATCAAGGAAAAAATTTAATGTAATTTAAACCCTTTTAATTAGTAATGTGAATACAATATTATATCTTCGATGATAATTATGAATATATTATTAACCCCTTTGATGAAAGTTATAATTGCAATATTATCCTTTTGCTTTATATTTTTTCGTTCAATCCATAATGCCGATTCTTGCATCGATCACAAAAACTAAATCGATAAACTTTAAAATAAATACTTTTACATGAGATTATTCGTAAGAGACTTTTCTCCAAGATCAGATTTCTTTCAATTTACATTTATGCTACACGCACAAACTAATTGACTTTGTTGCTACTTAGGATAAAATAATTAAATGATAGGAAATACAGTTGGAATTATGATAGTCTTTCAAGTAGATTATAAGGTCAGGTTCTTGCATAAATTTTCTAAAAATTTTAATTAAATAAATATATAATACTCTTTGAACTATAAAATCTTTCACGATGGCATTAATAATTTATGAAGCGTGTAATTAATAATCGAGATGCAGAATTTAAATACAAAAGTCAATAATGCTACTTTTATTTATTGTATCAGGACGGATTAATTATTAAAGTCAAACTTCTAATGCGACTTCCATCAAACTTGGAAGGAAGCATAGAGAGAAAGAGAGAGAGCTGACGACGTGTGAGAAAGAAAGAAAATACACAAAGCTGAAAAGTACGAGAGAAAAAGAAAGCGTGTATTTTTGTTATTCTCAATTACTTGAGGTACCTTATTTGAATTATATTCCTCTCGATCATTCTAAATGTTAAAAACTTTAATATTTTACGATTTTTAAAATCCTTTGGTAATGCGTCTTTTAGTAGTATTTGTTTAAAAAGTTGCATTTTTTTCAATTCAATTTATTCTAATAATAATAATAATGAATATTATTTCGTATTGTTTTCTAAGGTGCAGGTGTTCATTTGTCACCAAAGCGATTTTATTTTTCAACATAACTTTAAATTACATTTTCGCATATTTGACAATATTATTATTTGCCTTTAATACTCCGTTTATAAAAATTTATTTTCCAAAGACGCTATGTTTATCACTTTTTATATCTAACTATCTGTTTATCTACCGTTTTTTCTCTCTCTATCTATATATCAATCACTATTTATTTTTCTCTATTTCCCTCTCTGACTATTTATCTACCTCTTTATCCATGTCAATATTTTTCTCAAAATATCCCTCCTCACTCGGTCTATCTAACTCTATCTCTTTCTGTTTTCTGTTCTCTGCCTCCTTACCTATCTCACCCTTCTCACTCTATTTATCCCTCTCTCTGAATCTATCTGTCCTCTTTTTGCTCTTACCGCCTCTCACTCCATCTACCTCTCTTTCTACCTCTTTCTCTAGTTCGCTCTTCATCAATCTGTCTTTCTTTCTTCACAATAAATTTCTTTTTTCTTTAAAATTAAATCAACCTCTATTTTTCTCTATTTGTTTTTCTGCCTATTTATCAACCTCTCTATCCATGTCACTATTTTTCTCTACATATCCCTCCTCACTCGGTCTATCTAACTCTGTAATTAATTTCTGTTTTCTACCTCCTTACCTATCTAAACCTTCTGACGCTATATTTCAATTCCTCTTTCTAAATCTATTGGTCCTCTTTTCTCTATTAAGCCCTCTCACTTTATCTCCCTATCCTAAATCTATATGTACTCTTTTCTCTCTTACCCCCTCTCACTCTACCACACTCTATTTCCCTCTCTTTCTCTAGTTCGCTCTCCATCAATCTATCTCTCTCTTTCACAATAAATCTCATTTTTCTTAAAATTTATGCAAAAACCCTATTAAAAACATAAATAAAAATTGAATAGAACAGTTGAAAAGAAAGTAGTCTCGACACCAATGACAGAAATGAATTTAAAATTATTTAAATCCATTTTTACACAAACACATAAAATCCAATAAAGATTATTTAAAGTGGTCCCTATAAAAAAATAAAAAATCTGCATGGTCCGATTAAAAATTCAGATTTATGGAGCACCTCAGACTTACACTTCTGAGTTTTGATGAAACTTGGCATAAAGATAAAGTTTGCGATGGAAAATATACTCTTAAAATATTATAGGCCTATGAGAGGAGGTTTAATTGTAAAAAATGAATAAAGTTTAATTAAACGAAAATTTAAAAAGAGTTTTAATTGTAAAAATGAATAAAGTTTAATTAAACTTCGCGGTGTGGCGATGTCGCTATGTGAGGATGGTCAAGTGGTTATAGTGACTGACCTTCGCCTTTTACAAAATTTTATTTTATTATCGTCAAAACGTGTAAAATTCTTAAATTAAACTGATATATAAATTGTCAAGGATTAATTATTTTTTATAACTAAACCGCGCCTCATAGGTCTATAATAAATTAAGAATTCTATTTTGTCCATTGTAAAAATGAGGTTCTCTATGTAAATTCTCAAGCAACACAATTGTGTCAAAGATCACATCCACTTCGAGTCATGCACATTTTCTACAATCCTATTCGAGGAATGTTATAAATAAACACAATGTTAAACATAAACAACTGTGTTTATCAATAAGTAATAAATATCCTATTTTATAAATCTAATCGTGGGAACACGACAACATGGAAGTTACACTTTTATCATTATCTAAATATTAAAAATGGTTTGTGCGATTGATCAGAATTGTTATCGACATAAAAAGTATTATGTTACCTTGTTGAGTCGAAACAATTCCAAAGTCTTATCCACTATTTATATATGAGAATGCATAAATGATTTTATCATAATACTCTATTAATATAATATACTATCTATCACTTTTATTAAATTCAATCATCCATTACTCAAACTTTCACAATTTTTTTAATCGTTCGAGTAATAAATGCTATGTTAATATTAAGTGTATTAGAAAATACACATCCAAGTGTATACACCGATATATATGTCACACATATATTTATTTATTTAAATATGTAAAAATTTATCAAAACATATTAGTATTATATATAATATAAATTTTCAATATAAGAAAGGGGAGGGAGTTGTGTAAAAATAAAATTCGATTTTTTAAGTGAAACTTCTAATGTGACATCCGAACTGGTTGCGTTATAGGAAAGAAAATAGAAAGAGACAGTAAGCAGAAAAACAGAGATACTCAAAGGTAGACAATAGGAGAGGGAAAGAGACACAAATCATAAGGATGTGAAATTAGCTTAAATACGTACTTGTTAGGGGGCGTCCATTAATCACGTGAAGTTTTTAAGGAGTGGGGGGGGTTCGACAAAAAATCACAAAATATCACGTGGGGGAAGGAGGTGTATAGTAAAGGTGCGCCACACTTAACGAACGAACATGATGAAAAATATGCGCAGATTGAAGTTTTCAAACAAAAGCGAACCACACGCATATCAAACGCCATGTTCGTTCGTGCTCGTTCGCTAGGTGTGGCGCACCTTAAGTTATCACGTGTATTTATTATTTACCTGAATTTTTAACATTTTCAAAAAAAAATCTAAAATTTTACATTTTTTTCTCATAACTAAAAATACACGTAACGTTTAGTGGGGGAGATGTCATGGCAAAACTATCTCAAGCTTGTTTCTTGGTAGTAAAAAGTATAAAAAAGTCTATTTATTTGCTATGCTATTAGGCGTAGTTCACATATAAACATATAAACAATCAAGGATGATTATGATAACAGATCTTGGAAAATCCTGTCATCATAACATTATTTCTTGCTTGTTTATATGTAAAATATGCCTGATCGCACAAAAAAGTCATTTTCACAGTTTTCACCACCAAGAAACAAGCATAATATAGCCTTGCCATGACAACAGAATTGTCCCATTAAATTATTTAGTGCTTTATTGTCACTCACTTTCCACATCATGGGTAGTGGGTGTTATTGATGCGAATTTTTCATAACCACATTCTAAACCATTACCAGATAAATTCTGATTGAAAATGATAAATTGTCCACTTGAAAATAATAATTTACCGTTTCCACTCGCAAATTGCGATATTTTTATGTAATTTGCTGCCGGAACGGCGGCATCCGAGTGGAAAGGTTTAAAGATTGTCATCAAAATTTATTAACGATTGTAAATTGTTAATAAAGTTTGTTTCACAGTAACAACTATATGAGTACATTGAAGATCAATTTCTGCCTCTTTCTATTTTCATTACCATATTACAAAGTTTCACTTATTTCGCGCGTCCACGCACTATTAAATTTTAAGGGATGTAATCGAAGAAATACTTTTATGCGGTTGTTATTATGAATAAAGAGAAGGGTTTGTTTATAAATATAATTATCAGGAAGGTTCAAATAATATATAAGAGACTCAAGCACAATATTTTACAGAGCCTTAAGTATGTTTATGGAGCTATTCTGCCTCATAACATAGTGTTGTCAGAGTAATGCTTATTTCTTGGTAGTGAAAACTGTGAAAATGTTTATTTGCTGCGATTAGGCATATTTTACATATAAACAAGCAAGAAAGAATCTTGTGATAACTATATCATCAAAGATTCTGTTATCATAACATTCTTCTTGGTTATATGTAAAATACGCATGATCGCACAGCAAATATACATTTTCACAGTTTTCACTACTAATAAACAAGCATAAGACAGCGATGTTATGAAGCAGAATTGCGCCATTAATTTATTTTTAAATATTTATTTTAAATAATGTTCCAGAAATCTATAATTGCAGCATCATGTTTCTGTATCATTTTATTGATGTTGTTCACATTTATATTAGGGTTGCACCGAATATTCGGTTACTATTCGGTATTCGGCACATTTTTTGATATACGGCCGAATACTGAATAGAAACTTACTATTCGGCCGAATACCGAATAGTTAAAATTAAAGAAGCCGTCGCCACTCGGCGAAAATATTGTGTGTGTGTTTTATATTTTATGCGATAAAGAACTTGTGATGGATCTGTATATTTTGAAGTCTTTAGTTTATATAATATGATAAGAATAAAGTTTCACAGTTTTCACTACTGATGATTCCGTTATTGTATTTTGTATATATAATAATTTAAAGTTTATCGACTTTTGAGATTATGTTATTCAAGTATTCGGTATTCGGCCGAACAGTATGAATGGTGTCAAATTTTCCAAATAAGAAAGAGTAACCAAATAGTAGATTCAAACCTAGACATAAAAATTGAATATACATGTTGTACGTCAGTGATATAACAATTACAAATAGTAATTGTTTCAATACGAACGAGTTTAGGCGCTGAAGTTGCCGAATATTCGGTATTCGGTCTCTAATTTCAAGCCTAATTTATATATAAAAAATCACATTCACTGTATAAACATTGTGCTGATAAGTATCAAGTATTTTGCAAGTGCCATTTGGCACTTTCCCCTCGTTTCAAAATAAAAAACACACATCCCACTTCTAAATCTAACCTTAAACCTATTATTACTCCCAGCGGGCTCACACATATCAAATATCCTTTATCAATTATTGCAGCTTACCCTCATTTAAACCGCCCTTGCACGAAGCGCCCCTTAATCCTATAATATCACACAGAATACAATCAATGTGCTCCGAGCTTTTCGCCATTTTCGAATGCTTATTCTTATGTTTCGATTTGATCACTTCGTTTAAATAATCCACCACTTCTTCCGAGACCAATAATTCGTTTGGACAGAATTTGGTGTCCGTGCTTTTGGATAAAGCTCGATTAGTGTTTGATAAATTTGTGGGGGTTCTACTAACCTGAGGAGGTTGCAGACATGTTAAAGAATAAGATTCATCTGAACGTTGGTGTTTGAAATTGTGTTTTGGGTGAAAAGAATTTTCACACAGACTGTTTTTGCTAGAACCGGATTGAATGGATTGGAAATCTGGAACGCTGTATTCTTGTAAGTCTGTATTAATTTCGTCGGTCACGTCTGGAATGACTTTTGGTTTAGATTTGTGTTTAGAACTTTTTTTACTGTTTAAAGTTTGACTTTTTGCGTCGCTTGAACTATCGTGTTTACATTTCTTTTTGTTATGCCCTAATGTAAAACTTTTCCTTAAAATCGTACCAAACCTATTAAACTTACTACTATGACCATCCTTTACCTCGTTTCTTTCCACATGTGCCATTTGACTAATTTTCGGACTCCTCACATCGTAAGTAATCATTCCATCTAAGTTCTGGCATATTGCTAATAAATTTGACACTTTTTTATTCCAATTCGCCGACAGATCTTGTTGCGCAAAACTTCTCCGAGACGATTTTACAGATTGCTGCTGCCGAATGGAGTTGCTTTGGAGTTGCTGATGCTTCTGAGATTCTAAAAGTCGTTTTAATTTCTTTGACAGCAAAGATAGATCTTGCAATGTGTACTGTTGAGATGGAATGTTGAAGTTGGAACTGTCAATCAGTCAATCTTGCATTAGGTTTTGAGAGACAGAATGTAATTGTTCTTTCAACGATCTGAATGAAGGACGGTCATCTGGGCTGTGGGACCAGCAGGCGCGCATTATCTGGGGGATAAAAGACCCATGAATGATAATGAAAGTTTAAAACAGTAATATTAACTAAAGGACATTTTTTGTGTGTATGAATTTCCAGATTTTTGTAAGCAATTGACTGAATTGATAAGTAAAATACGTTAATTTAATAATGACTTCCAAGTATGGCGAGTTGCTGTAGTTGCAGTCTTGTAATGGTAAAACTATTGCAGATTATTAGATTTTGTATAAATTTAGAAAACATTTTAGTTATATTTGACAAATTGTTCAAATGTTATAAATTATCGAACAAAAAACGAATGTGTATTAATGTGTAATATGTTTTTCATTATTGAGCAAAAAGTCATTGGAAACCGATTCACCAAAAAGAGATCCCGTGTCAAAATTTTGAATTTTTTAAGTTCCCGAAACGTTGAATTCATAATTTCTAACTTCCCGTAGGGTAAGTTATAGTAAACGCAAAAAAAAATCGAAAATAATTTTTTTATATATCTTTACGTTTCAGCAGTTTCTGAACATTTCGGCATACATTAGAAAAAGTGGATGTATGTGTGTGCGTGCGTTTACAAATTTTCGTCGACGATTTCTCGAACACGGATCAACAGATTTGAATAATCCAAAAAACATTTGATTCCAACTAATAAGAAGATGTGCAGATTAGTTTTTGGCAAAGGCAGGTCTAGCCGTTTCGGAAATGCGGGCAAAAAGTGCCAAAAAATAGTATTACAGTTTTTGAGTTTTTGCGTCCGATTTAAAAAAAAAAACAGAAAACATTTCACTTGTATTGACGAAATGAACAATTGGTAATTTTTTTGTAAAGGTAGGTATCCAATTAAAAAGTAAAAAATGATGCCATTTGGCGGTCAAAAATGAACATTAGACATATGTACATCGTATTATTAAATTTTCCTTAAAGATTTTAATAATAAGTACACATTTTATATACATTTATATGGGTTCCGTACCAATGTTTACACGTTAGACAACTACGCGGCGCTTACGCGCTTTGATATTTCGACTCCAAATCAGCTACGCAGCGCGATTGCTTAAAAACATGTTCAAAATTTTCAAAAAAAATCAAAATACAAAAAAAATCCCTTCTACAATTGCACTATGATATTGTAGACAAAAAGCAGTACAATTATAAGAAATAGTGGTGGACAAGAATTGAACCTTGTGGGTCACCTAAATTAATATTAAAGATGTCTGAACAAACAAGAACAAGTCTGGTCGAGTTTGACCGAAAAATAATCAGCACGATTGCCGGAATATTCAGAATTGGTTTAGTATATTTTTAGTAAAAACGCTGTCGAAAAACATCGTATCTGGTAATTATATAAAAATGGCTCAGCCGATCGTAGCGCAAAACGAATCAAACGATTCAGAATGAACCAAAACATCGAGAATACACAAATAATAAATTAAATTTTATGGCGGATCGACAAATTATTAAATGGCAAAATATCATTAAACCTACTTCATAAACTTCTTTCGCACAGCCTTTAGGTCTCTCAAGAACAATTCCACGTTGTACACGTTCTACGACTTCAGTATTCTTCAAACGACCATAAGGCATCTTTCCACAAGTAAAGACTTCCCACATCAAAACTCCTAAAAAATAAAAATACACATTTAATAACAAAAAATCTCATTTATCCATATCAACTATGACTAATTCTCTTACCATAAGCCCACACATCACTCTTGGAGCTAAACCTGGTGTAATTAAGAACTTCAGGAGGCGCCCATTTTATAGGAAACTTGGTACCACCTGATGACGTATACTGGTCATCCAGAACGTAACGAGCCAAACCAAAATCTGCTACTTTTACTGTATTTTCAGAACCAACGAGACAGTTACGAGCCGCCAAGTCGCGATGGATATAATTGTGCCGTTCTAGGTAGGACATACCTTTGCAAATCTGGGAAAGAGGATTTATGATAAAATCAGTTACTACATGAATGCAGTATTTTAACCCTTTCCACTCGCGAGTTCCGAGCATTATATGAATTTTGCCGACGGAGCGGCGGCATCCGAGTGGAAAGAGTCAATATTATAATATATTTATTTCTATTTACCTGTATGCACATATCAAGCAACATGGCACTGTTTCCAGCCAGAGCAAGTTCGTGACGTCTCAAATGGTTGAGCAAGGAACCATGACGCATGTATTCAGTCACAATATAAATTGGACGGTGCTTTGTGCACACTCCGTACAGTTGCACTAGGTTCTGATGTTGCAATTTACTAAAAGGAATCAAGAATTTGAAGATGCATAAAACAGAAAACCAAATAAATATAACAAATCTTTTATACTCACGTCATGACTTTGGCTTCCTCAATGAAGTCATCTTCAGACATTGTTCCTTCTTTCATCATTTTAACAGCTGTATCGATGGATCCGCGCCATTTACCTTTACGGACAACGCCAAATTGGCCAGAACCTAATTCTTCAAGCAACATCAGCTCTGCTGGATCGATTTCCCATTTATCTAAAATAAGTTTTACCAGTGCATTAATATTACCGCTATTGCTATCATTATTATTATTATCTTCTTCCCCCTTACCATGACTGAGACCAGCAGTAGGTGGTGCCGGTCTATCACAAGGCGACGCCTTAAGTCTGCTTGCCAATCCTCCACTGTTGTGCCGATGATAATTAACCAATTCCGGGATGCTTGCACAACAATGTTTTTCAGAGAGATAATATAATTCACCTCCTGCACCTCCTCCACTGCCCGATTTGTTTGGCTGCTGCTGTTTGATGTGGTAATGTTTGACGTGCGGGTGTGGACTGTAAAGGAAACAGGAAAATGGATAATTCATTTATTGTTAATTGGTGAGTGTTTTATTTATGCTTACACTTTGGTATAAAGCGAGAGTGTATAGAGGCCTTTAGTCGAAGAATTTCTTACAACAAAACAACCTTCTTTGTCCTCTTGTTTGAGTAACGATTCCGCTCGTTGCCTGGACATGTCTCCAACATACCATCTGATAGACAAAAAATACAATTTAACATAAATAATTATAGAATACTAGTATTGTGTAGTTACTAATTACAATACTAGTTTCATAAGTACATCCTCTACTTACTCATATTTTTGTAAACCGAGTAGTTCCTTTTCTTTAACATAGTTGCTCGGGATGTATCCAATGTTACTGTAACAATAAAATATTATTAATTAAATTCAAACTATTAATTTACTTCAAAAGTAAGAAAATGAAACAATATATTAATTTGTAAACTTACCCAGCATTATCTTTGACTTTCCACCAATGTTCTTGCGAGTCATCTACTACTTCATACTCTGCCCCCTGAAATTTGAAAATAAATATCGATAACAATATATTTTTTTGAAATAATTGAAATGATTAATTTAATAAATAACAATAGCATATTAAAATTTAAAAGAGTCTGAATTAGATGTGTAGAGAAGTCTGAATTAGATTGAATATTCACGCCAGATCGTATCTAAAAATTAGTTAGTCTATGCTTAAATGTAACTAACTTCAGGTGGACGCCATGTTTGTTTCAACTGATATGTTTTGTTTTCGAGGTTGTAACGAGGTGTAAACATTGAACTTGAAATATAAAGATCCTCGCGTAAGGCAAATAATTGTTGTTGTTATTATATATGTACTATATTAGAAGAAGAAGAGGAATGCAGACGATTGACGACTTACGTGAGAAGAGAAAATACAGGGAACTAAAAGCCAAACACAGAATCAAGAAGCATGGAAGCACAAGTTTGGAAGGAAAAATACATGAAAAAAGGGGTAGGGGGAATAGTGGTAATGGGAATGATAGACGAAGAGTAAAGGGGGTAAAGAAATCATTTATTTGTAGTGGCTCTCACACCTTGGACCTGCCTTCGGGCAGACTACCATTTATTATTTAATATATTGACGTGTAATTTTATTTCAGTAAGTCTAGGGTAAAGTAATAATCCGTGTGATAAAATGGTGTGAATGAAAAGTAAAGCATGTAACAGATGCTATAAATATTTTTGACGAAAATAAGTTTGATATAATGTCTTTATTATTTTTTTTATAAATTTTAATAATCACCTTCTCTAATGACAAATCCCCTCCTTCAATAGCCTTGAACGGATACAAAGCCACAACCACTTTGGCACGAAGCATAATTTTGTCCTGCAAAAGATAACATAAGTTTTGATAATCTTGAATTTTTCATAATTATCATATTATTTGTATTATTAATAGATAAACGTAGTATGTAAATCTTTGTGTACAAGCTTTGTCCTAATCCGGATAGTTTGATCATGCAGCAGTGATATCAATCACTCAAAATATCAACTTAACATGTGGTATTAAGTGGCAAGGCTTCGTTCACTAATATCCTGAAATTTTTCCGAGCATTTTTGACCTCTTCGCCCTCTTGGAGATATTTTTAATTATATCATCAAGCATCACGTGTATTTTTAGTATCTACAATAATGGGCCGATTCTACCGCTCAACACACCAATGTTATGGCAAGGTCATGTTACGCACCAACTTCCATACACTATGATACTCAATCATACTGAATGTCAAAATGTCATGTATTTGCAGTGCAACAAAGCGTTTCACACATAAGCTGCAACGTCACTCGTATGTTGTAAAGCTAAGTCAGAAGAACCATGTTATCTAAGATCGTTTTTTTTTTACTTTTGTGCGGTTCTAGGTTAGTTTTTCTATCTGACAACCTGAGAAAAACTCCTGACTGGACAGCAACAACATGGCTTTTATCAATATTTAGAACGAATTAGTATGACAAGTTCTTCATAACATAGCCTTGCCATAACATTTGTCTGTTATGCAGCAGAATCGGTCCATAAATCTTAAAACGTAGAAAATTATCTTTAAATCCAAGTAAAAAATAAATACACTAGATATTTTACCACTCCTCATCTGTGGTATTTATCGATTTTTGTGAACTACTCCATTTTAAAACTTTCCTTAGTGATAACTGGACTTATTTAAATATCTATATTATTACCTTAGTTTTGGCACTCGGCGTCCCGGGCGCCATGGCTCCAACGGGTCTCTGCGAAACAACCAATCCGTGTGCGCCACTCCCTGTATTACCAACACTTCCGGCACCGGCTGCCGGATTCAGACTCAAACCAGCGACGACAGCGCCGTGTCCATTGCTGTGTTTGCCGTTGGGACTGCTGTCCTTGTGGTGACCGCTGGTGGTGACAACGCCCGTTGCAGAGGGACTGTGGGCGCCGTTGTTAACGGCGGAAGACGCTGTAGTGCTGTTGGCAGCACTGGTTGTGCCGTTACGAGAGGAAGAGTTTGAGGGACCGCCGTGAGATGTCAGCGCCGCGGTGGCTGGAAAAGAGGAAACAAATGATGAATGAATGAGAGAATAATAATGTATATAAAAATATATTTAGAAAAATAAAAAATAAATAGATATATAAATAGATAGGTAGATAAATAAATAAAAAAACAAACTCAATCCATTTGATGGCAAACTTTTTACTTTTTTTATATCACAAAAGACAGTTTAAAGCATCAGTGGTTTCCCAACTTTTCGAACTGTTCAAATCAGATCTATTTGAGATTAGATCAAAGCAAAAGCTGATTTAAGAAAAATATTACCTCATGAAATTTTTTATCTTGATAAAACAACGTGAATGAAATGATTTGATGGCAAACTTTTTACTTTTTTTTATATCACAAAAGACAGTTTAAAGCATCAGTGGTTTCCCAACTTTTCGAACTGTTCAAATCAGATCTATTTGAGGTTAGATCAAAGCAAAAGCTGATTTAAGAAAAATATTACCTCATGAAATTTTTTATTTTGATAAAACAACGTGAATGAAATGAAGATTGTTAGAAAGATTTTGTTAAACTTGAAAAAAGATAAATAAGATGCAAAATCAGCCTAAACATAAAAAATAATGCTATTACTATCTACCTAACAAACATTGACCATTGTTTACCATTGACGCATTACAGTCTCATTTTTCATTTTTCAATAATGCACAATTAACGATTTCACGTCAGCACATCATCTCTAATGCATCATTTCGCTTTCAACAATTAATTATTACAAAACTGAATTCGTATAAAACAAATAATAATAATGTCGAATTCGAAACCGTGACGCACATTGTGGAATCCATTTATCATAAAATATTATATTAATAATAATAATTTTTTAGTAAGATTACAATTATTTATTAGAGATCAGAACTACGTGTTATAGTGGCTGTGTTTACTGTCGTACATATTTAATTTTGTATTTTTTTAGAGGGAAACCCAGCGGTCAACCTCTCTTTATTTATATGTGCAGATTTAGGGTTGTTCCTAATATGCATATTTTCGATTTTTTACTCCCGGAGGCTCAAATGCTTCCAGAATGATAAAAAAAAACACTGAAAGTTTTAGCTCTTAATATTAACTTTAAGATAGTCCGCACTCCCTAGTGCAGTCTATATATAAAATATGTGCATGTACATAATAGTATTGGAGTATACATGTTCCAGCAACGCCCACGAAATGTGATTTTCATTTGAAATTAAATTTGTTATCTTTAACCACAAGTGGAAATTTCATATCATACTGCTTGATATCAAGCCGGCCGAGGTTGGGTTCGAACCCGAGCCTAGTTTGTGTCACTCCACGTTCTTCTTCTTACTACATCAGTACGGACACAGAAATAATTATGAAATAAAATATATTAATAAAATTAAGTTTACCGATACCACAATTATTTATTTATTTATTATTTACGGGGTTTCCTCATATTAACAACAATAAATAACCGTGACGCACTAAAACCGATTTTAATATTAAAATATTTTGTGTCTTCATTAAATATTGTATGGTCACGAACTTATAATTTAATTATTTTATAAAAAAATATTTATATTACGAATACATATAATTGTTTTTTTATACTATCGTTTTATGAAATCTTCGTGTTTCCATGAGTTCGTCAAATTTGTTTGGGTTTTACCGACAATTCTGGGTTTTGATAATTTTATTTTTAATTTTTTGTTGTAGTCTACCACAATTTTATTTGTTGACTAGAGTATTATACCATCTGGCAACACATTCCTTAATTCACAAGATGAACTTACAATTTTCAACTCTTTTTAATACAGTAGTAGAAGAAAAGCTCTTAGCAATAATAATAGAAATTTAATGTCGATTAATTAGCTTCTGATTTGCTGGGGTCACCATAAAGAAATATTATGAAGTTGACACCACCACATCGCACAAATTTCTTAGAAAACTTTTCTTCCAATCGGGAAACATTTTTATGAAAGTAAAAATGTTAATCATCCTAATCCCTCATTTATCATAGGACAAGTAAATTGAAAATTGATTGTATAAAATTTTAATTAATAGTTATATTTAAACATTTAACACACTTACATTGATACTATTAAACTAAGGTGTATTGTAAAAAAAAATTAATATATTTATGACGAGCAAACTGAGTCTTGACTTGCAGAAGAGATTAAGAAAGTGCTATGTTTGGAGCATAGCTCGGTACGGATCAGAGACATGGACTCTAAGACAGGCCGACAAAAACTACTTGGAGAGTTTCAAAATGTGGTGCTGGAGGCTGATAGAGAAGATAAAGTGGACAGACCAGATAACAAATGAAGTCCTGAGAAGAGTGGACCAAAAAATGACTCTACTGAGAATAATCCGGAAAAGAAAAGGAAACTGAATCGAACTCGTTCTGCAAAAAGAGTGCCTCCTGCACGATGTCGTTGAAGAAAAAACAGAAGGACTGAAAGGAATGGTAAGAAAAAGAATGCAAATGATTGACCACTTACGCGAGAAAAGAAAATATAGGAAACTGAAAGCCGAAGCACAGGATCAAGAAGCATGTAATGTCAATCGTTTTTTCTACAATATGCAGACTAAGATTTAACCATACAAACACTCCGTTTCACTTGAGTAGAATTGGGATCAACACCGATCCTAATTGCTATTGCTTGGGTGGAGTGACTAGGGCGGATGCTGAGCACGTCATTATGGAGTGGAAAAAATGGGAAAAGGGTAGGCAAGGACTATGGAGGTAGATAGTAAGGCAAAAAATCTCCATCCCAAACAATTTTATAACATCATTGACGAAAAAAAGAATATATGGTGCGCTATATAATTATATACAATAAAATAAAATAGAATTTATAGTCTTAAAGAGTAGAATTGGGATCAATACCGATCCTAATAGCTATTGCTTGGGTGGAGTGACTAGGGCGGATGCTGAGCAAGCAATTATTGAGTGCAAAAAATGGGAAAAGAGTAGGAAAGAACTATGAAGGGAAATAGTAAGACAAAAATCTCAAAAAAGAAAAGGATATATGGTGTGCTATATAATTATATACAATCAAATAAAATAAAATTGTAAAGGTAACTTATAAAATGTATATGACTAATGTACGTGTACAAATAAACAATAAAAAAAGAAGCATGGAAGCAAAAGTTTGGAAAGGAAAACACATAAAAAATTGTTTAAAAAGGCGGGACGGGTAATAGTGGTAATAGGATTGATAGACGACGAAGGATAAGGAAATCATTTATTTATGGTAGCTCTCACACCAAGGACCTGCCTTCGAGCAGACTACCAATTTTATAACATTATTGACAAAAAAAAGAATGTATGGTGTTATATAATTGTATACAATCAAATAAAATAAAATTGTAAAGATATCTTATAAAATGTATATGACTAATGTATGTGTACAAATAAACAAACAAAAAAGAAGCATGGAAGCAAAAGTTTGGAAAGGAAAATACATAAAAAATTGTTTAAAAAGGGGGGGCTGGTAATAGTGGTAATGGGATTGATAGAAGTCGAAGGGTAAGGAAATCATTTTTGTGGTGACACTCACACCATGGACCTGCCTTCGGGCAGGCTACCATTTATTATTTATTGTATTTATTATTGCTCAACTGTAAGACCAGGATTGCATAATGTTGCTCTCTCTCTCTTATTTTACTCAGGGATTTCTTTTAAGAAAAATAAGAATAAGATATGCCTCTTATCTTACGACATTCATTTTCTTTCAACTTATATTATATTAATAACAAAAGAATTTTGTAAAATCGGAAAATTATATGCTACATAACAAAAACTTGAGAGTAATCTTGTCAGCTTGAACACTTACTCGCTTATGATAAAATTTAAAAAAATCCTAAATCAAAAATTGTTTTACGGTTTTTAAAAATTAGTTTTCTATTAGTTAGCAAATATAAATACTACTTACTGGGTATGATATAATATACAATGTGCGATTTCCTATAAAACATAGGACTTCCATCCATTTTCATTTTTTCAGACTACGCAACACTTTTTCTTAACGTTCTTTTATAAAACGAATTTAATAGAAAGTTTAATAACTAATATTAAAGTTGTGGTCAAAGTTACAAACACTATTAAATTATTTAGATGTATATTATAATAGTATTAAAAAAATCTATTTAAAAATAAAGGAGATGGACAAGTCCATTTCTAGCAGTACAACACAACGCGAGCTAGCGAAGAAAAAACTCACAAGGATTAACTTTTAGTAAAAACGAAATAATTTAAATTTTGCAATTAATATTAGGAATGTATAGGTCATATAAAACATATAATAGTTAATTATTAATAATATTAAAAAAATAATTTTGTATTTGGATAATTAGACATATTTGTCATGAAAATATTATAAATAAGTTTTTTAACTTCACATATATTAACAAAATAATATTTGAATATTATTATTAAAATACACAGTCATTAAAATTAGACTTCACACTATTAAGAAAAGTTTTTGTATTAACAAATCGCACTTAAAAAAAGTTTGAGCATTACACAACTGTATATATATAATTATTTTCACAAATATCTATTTATTATTATTCGTTATATTTATTATTTTATAACTTTATATTATTTTATTATTCAATTTTATTTTTTATTTATCCAGCAACGCAAAAAAAATCAGTCAGCAAAACAATTTTCTATCGACTGATCGGACTTTAAGATTACGAAAGACTAAATAACAATGCAACTATAAATTTCAGACGATTCTATTGAATTTATTATACATATATAAATAATTATATATATATATATATATATATGTATTAAATAAATAATTAAATTGATACACGATATAGCAAATGTGTTGCGAAAAAAACAAATAGTGTGTTGCGATTAAAACAAATACAAATAAAAACATATTTATATTACTAAAAAAACGAATACATATATATATATATATATATATATATATATATATATTCATTTAACTAGCGTTCCTTATAAACAACTTATGTTATTTATTTACTACATCGTATAGGACTTCATATATTAA